CCCCCCCCCCCAGCATCACAGAGAGGAAATAAGGTGACACTGAGCCCTCCTCCTATTTTCGCTGACAAAACCAAATTTAAAAAACTTAAATCAGATCCTACACTAACCCAATTAACGACCCTTCAAAACTACCTCCGAACCATTTATAACCGCGGTGAAATTACAAGCGATACATTTTCTGAAGTTCAACCTCAATCCACTAAACCTGCCCGCGCTCATGGCCTTCCTAAAACCCACAAGAACTTTGATACCTTGCCACCTTTCCGCCCAATCATTGACACCACCGGTACTGCCTATCACCTATTGCCAAATACCTCACGAGATTGCTTAATCCGCTCACTATGAATTCGCACACTTTGAAGGACAGTTTTGAGGCTGTTTCTCGCATCCAAAACATTCCAGAACAACTATTCAAAGATGGTTATCGATTTGTCTCTTTTGATGTCAAATCACTTTTTACAAACGTCCCCCTCGAGAAAACCATCAACATAATCCTGGATAGAATTTACAATAAGCAGCAAATCAGCACCACGTTAAAGAAACGGACACTAAAGAAACTCCAACCTCGCAAGCCAGGGTCTTTTACCTGCGCTCGGGCTCCGGCGAAGACCCTGGTTCCCTCTGGTCACGTGAACCCCCAGATTTTAGGGGTAATTCGAATTGCCGCCTTTTTGCCACTTAGGGAGGAGTGGTAGGGGGAATTCAAGAGCGAAAACGAAAACATCTATAACTATTCCTATGGAAAATACGGCCATTTACGCTCTGTATTAACCCATATTTTGGGTTTTGTCGGGTTTTGTGTTATCTTTTATGAAATATGTCACCACTTGGCGCTTGAAAGCTTCTTACACCTACTTGATATAATTTGCATGGCTGGAGGTCTGTTTTACACCTTGAAGTGGAGCCATTATTTATCAACGCAAAGAAAATAAAGTCGAATGCACACTTATACAAAGTCAAAGTACAGTATTCAGTAGCTCTCAAGCTATGGCACAGCGAAAGATAACTCCAAAGATGATTTACCCGAAATCCGCTTTGTTTTCGGAATGCAAGTGTCGCCTTTGTGGTAGTATTATCGACAAGAAGTATTGCAACAACCTATTCTTAGAGCTAGCTGAATAGCGAAATAAAAACCTGCTTCGTATCGCAGAATTTGTGAATTGTGTGAACTCTTGCGTGTGATGACCGATTTTCTAATCTTCCTAATTAAATTAACATTAAATTAAAGAATGGGGGACAAAAAACACCCAAGACAGTGAAGTCAATCGAATGTTTAATATTAAAGTAGAGCGACTGGGGCCGTGGAGGGATATCGATCTGCAGAAATTATAAACAACTTCGACATAGCTGTAGGAATTAAATCAAGAAGGCATCCTCTCACAAGCACAAATCTTCGGAGAAAATATCATTTTATCTGATCTCTTGGAATTGAAACCATTTGCAATCAACAATACGGTATATGATCACTTTCATGAAGGTTTCTTCACAGATATATCATCAGATACATTGTCAACATTTATATAGACAAATCGTCCCTGCATTTGATGACTAGCTAAACAAACACAAGAGGAACATTCACCAAGCACGTACCAGTGGACACATCAGAAGATGAAGAGGAATTATGACTGTGAATACTGTAACACTTGCACGAATAAGCGACAATGATTTGTATGGCTGTAGCACAGGCTACCAAGACTACCCTAGCTTGAAACTTAAGGATTAATAGATGCACAATTTGCACTTGTCCTATATTATAATGCAGCTATTCCAATTAAGGTTAGTGTCACAGACAATAGTTAAATGTACTAAAACTGTCTGTACCAGTGTCGGTAGTACCAATCATAGTACCAATGTAGAAATGCTGTGCTGAGTGGTTATATTACTACCTTAAAAAATAAGCAGAAACTCGACGTTTCGAACGAAGGCCCTTCGTCAAGACTACGTACTAACTCTTGACGAAGGGCCTTCGCTCGAAACGTCGAGTTTCTGCTTATTTTTTAAGGTAGTAATATAACCACTCAGCACAAAAGTTAAATGTACAATTGAACGCTAAAAAAGATACTATTTTAACACATCAATAGCCTCATGGGGATACAAATTAAATTGGTATTCATAATATATTTGAGGTGTTAAACTTATTGAAACTATCATTAATCCATTATTCATTTAGCACTCATATTATAGTACATCTGACTATTACATGTCTGTGACAACTTTAATGAAAATAGCTGTATGGTTACAGTATACTGTATATATATACATATATATTCAATTTAGAATTTTGTTCTGGCACTGCTGTATGGGTTTTTGTACTATCCATGAAGTAAATTGAGTTTATATAATGCAAATGATGACATATATATGAGAGAGTGTGAACATACTGTAGTGCAACTTGTGCCCACTTTAAAAAAACTGAGTTCAACAAAATTCACATTTGTGATTAATTGTGTATTCATTTGGTACAAAATCAAGAATATTTCACTGGCCCAAAAATATTTGTCTAATCAGGTAAAATCATTCCCTTTCCATATCTATAGACTAAACTACACTCAACACATAAAGATTGTGTTTTGCATACATGCACTACAGGGTGTCTCAAAAAAAACCAAAATCATTGAAATTGACGTCAGGGACGCCGGAACTGGGGGGGCAGGGGGGGCGGCTGCCCCCCTTGCCTTTTGCTAGGGGGGGCAGAAGTGCCCTTTTAGTTGTAAAATAATACGTGATAAATCACATTTCCAACGATGCTTTTTGTAGGAAAATCACGAGATTCAGGTAATTTATAGTTTATATTTATAAAAATTTGGAATTTAGAAAAATATTTTGAAGAAATGGCGAAAATTTAAGATATCGGGAAAAATTTTTGGCTTCACGGAAAATTTTTGTATGTCCGGAAAAAATTTTTGACCCCTAAAATGGTACACTGACCGAAATTTTTTTGGCGACGGGGGGGGGGTCGCCAAAAAATTTTGCAGTGAAAAAATTTTTTTCAGTAAAGGTGCCCTTGGTGTGCGTCCGCCCCCTTTGCCCTATTATCGTTCCGGCGTCCCTGATTGACGTATTGTTCGATATTCAATGCCCTAGCACTAAGTTAATCCCACGAGTGCATAAAAGATTGACATAACTGCTATAATGAATGGTAATACTCAGCGTAAACTTGTTATGTCAGGCATAAAGTACTAAACCCACGAATGCATATTACGCATATTACAATTTACGAAGCATTTTTAAATTCCCATGAGCAAACAAACGTTCACTTTACAAAGAATTTTGATTTTTTAAAACAAATTAATCACCCTGTCAAAATCCTTTGTGTTACGGCATTGAAATTCGAACAATACGTTATTTCAATGATTTTGGGTTTTTTTGAGACACCCTGTACAGCATAAATTGGTCTGCAAATGTATTCCAAGGCATGAATATCAGTGCCTGTATCTGAATGCTTTTTCGTAAAAGAAATTCTTTCGGTCAGAATTTGCAACCAACTCAAAGCAATTATGCAAGCCAAGCGATTCTTTTATGTGCCTTCGGTCAAGTTTATATGCTATAGCAGTCATGCAATAACGACTGGTACGTTATGAAACGACAACACACAATATACTACGTTTGGCATAAAGTGAACAAAATTGAGATAACAATATAATGGATGATTGAAAAATAACACGTAGAAATGAATTAGTTTTGTCTATTGGTCAAGTTCAGCTACATCGCATCAATCTCTTCGTTGTCACATTTTAATGGCTGCTGAGAAACATTTATTGCTGATCTCTGAGTTTTATCGCACATAATTTTCGAGCTGGATTGTTTATCAAAGGCGCGTTCTCGATATACTGTAACGAGCAGCATTACTCATTTACACAAACGCCATGAGTTGGACGTTCTTCTAACACTCCTTTAGTGAAAAGCATCAAAGGCAAAACTGGTAAATCAGCGACTCGCCATATTACCGGCTGGATAAATTGCCAGTATATACAGTACACGCCAAAGGACAGCTTTTCCAAGCAAATAACCTGCTTTGGCTTAATTCAAAATAGTGTTTGCATACAAAATATTTATAATAGAAAACTGCAGACAAATAAGAAAAATAATACATTTTGAATGTTTTTGCATATTACAGTTGAAGTCACTTCTCATAGCTTTACAGTCACTCCTCGGCGGGCCTTGCAAACACAACATTTAACCGGAAGTTGTAAATTACAACATATCACATTTCAACCACCCTCCCCTAGGACCTCTTGTTGCCCTAATTTTTAGGAGTTCACGTGACCAGAGGGAACCAGGGTCTTTGCTGTAGCGCCGTGCGGAAGTAAAAGACCCTGGCTTGCGAGGTTGGCATATCACCAGCTCGAATTACACCCGGACAGTCGATTCATTACAACGTTTTCTACCCATGAAGGACTGTTCCAGTATAAAAGATTAAATTACGGTACGAACAGTGCAGCCGAGATATTCCAAAATGTGCTACAACAAAACCTTAGCGATATCAGAGGAGTGAAAAACCTGGTGGATGATATTATTATTCATGGTAAAACCCGAAAGTCACACGATGAAGCACTAGAGAACTGTCTAAAACGGCTAGCAGCACTAAACTTTAAAGTGAAAGGGGAAAAATGTGAATTTCTACAAGACGAAATTACGTTCTTCGGATTAAAATTTACAGCAGCAGGAACCAAACCAGATCCAGAGAGTATTGAGAACATGGTTAGAGTACAAGCTCCCAAAACTGCTGGAGAAGTTAGAAGTCTTCTGGGAATGGCCAACACTTGCCACGAATACATTCCAGATTATGCAACTATTACAGCACCTCTAAGAGAACTAACCAAGAAAAACATTGCGTTTAAGTGGGAAAATAGACATCAGAAAGCATTTGAGCAACTGAAAAAGAAACTAACAAGTACCCAAGTTATGGCATATTTCGATACAAAGAAACGAAGTCTAGTAATCGTAGATGGCTCCCCTTATGGAATTAGTGCAATACTAGCACAGAAAGAACATCACAGCCAGCAGTACAAAATCCTTTCATATGCAAGCAGAGCACTCAGCCCAGTTGAGACAAGATACTCTCAAACAGATATTGAAGGACTTAGCTTAGTATGGGGAATTGAGCATTTTCGAATGTTCTTGATTGGATCAGAATTCGATGTGATAACTGATCATAAAGCATTAGAATCTATATTCAATAACCCAAGATCCAGACCACCAGCCCGCATCGAGAGATGGATGATGCGATTACAACCATTCAACTTCAAAGTCATTTACCGCAAAGGATCCTTAAACGAAGCTGACAACTTAAGTAGACATCCAGCTGTTATAGAGAGAGAACAAATAACGAGTACATCAGCAGAAGGATATGTGAATTATGTAACTAACTGTTCAGTTCCAAAGTCAATGACACTTGACGAGATTAAAAAAGCAACCCATAACGATCCAGTATTACAAAAAGTTAAGAAATGTATGAAAGAGGGAAAATGGGATGAGAACGATCCGGATCTTAAACCGTTTAGACTTTGCGCCGACGAACTTACGTACAATGCATCAGCAGGTATACTGTTGAAGAACACACGGCTGGTCATTCCAACACCATTACAAGAAAGAGCAACAAAGTTAGGTCATATCGGGCATCAAGGAATTGAGAAAACAAAAAGCCTACTACGCGAAAAGATCTGGTACCCAAATATGGACAAACGAGTGAAAGAAATGGTAAACAAATGCATTCCTTGCCAAGCTGTAGGTCACGGTAATAACCCGGAGCCAATGAAAATAACACCAACCGAAGACAAACCATGGACTAGTGTAGCAATCGACTTCTATTGTCCAGTACCCCGAACTGCATGGTCAATACCTGCTAGTGGTTATCGATACCTACTCAAAATTCGCAGAGATAGAAATAGTCAACTCAACCGAAGCAAAAACTTGCATACCAAAATTAGATACGATATTTGCCAGATATGGAATACCATCAAAAATAAAAACTGACAATGGACCCTCAGAACATTATACGGTAGTACAACGTAAGTACAACACCATCATAGCTGAAAGAGATGGTAAGACGGTGACAAGAAATGTTTCACACTTTAAGAAGGTAGTAATGGAGGAAAGCGTGGAGGAGCAGGAAGATACAGCACCGGGAAGATCGACGGAAACAGAGGAACCACCAAAGCAAGAACCAAGTGTAAGGAGATCAACAAGAATGAAAAGACCGGTAATACGATATCAGTACCAGACTTGATGTTATAAACAGTCAAACGATATAAATGTTTAAATTAGAGAAACATCAGACAACATTGATTTACATAAGTATGAACACAAGGCAAGGACATTTTATTAAGTGGTTGACATTCAGTTAAAAAAATACAGGGAGAGTAATGTAGTATTTGTAGCATGCGATAAGTTAATAATTAACCTCGAAGTATGTAACAACGTTGATTGACATTTGTAATAAATCATCATTCAGTATATTCTATACCATCAATCTCAAAATGGCAAGATTTACAGCAAAGTTTAACGAACGGACATTTTGCCGAAAATAGAGATATCTTCTGAACTTTAAAGGTTCGCTTACACGGTCAAATTTTCTGTGATTAAAGTCATTAATTGTCGATTTTGATGACAGAAACTTATAGTTTCGTTTTATATTCTTTCAAGTTTTTGACAAGTTTACCGAAAATTCGCGATATAAAGAATAACATCATTCAACATCATTCATGAATGTGATTTCCCCGAGAACTGTGAATGTATTCCTTGATACTCGAAGTGAAATTCGCCTACGTCGTCTTTATATACATATGCTTGTTTGTTTACGATCTGACGTCAAAGCACGTTCCTTACAAATGAGTCATCTGCTGCACAAACAAGCTACCAATAGTCAATATGATTATGCACTGCTATAACAACCATTATGCACTGCTAATGACCCATTATGCACTGCTAATGACCCATTATGCACTGCTAATGACCATATAATGGTTATTTTACACAATGGTTGAAAATTATACAGTTGAGAAATGAGTCACAGTCCCAAACATTTTGACGAAATAACATCTCTATTTTCGGCAAACTGTCCGTTCGGCAAAATGTCCGTTCGGCAAAATGTCCGCTCGGCAAAACGTCCGTTCGGCAAAATGACTGTCGGCAAAATGTCCGTTCGGCAAAATGTCTTTCGGCAAAGTGTCTTTCGGCAAAGTGTCTTTTGGCAAAATTTCCGGGTACCGAACGAGTTAGACAGTATGCCAGCATTGCGTTATAATGATGTGAACAATTTTGAAAGGTTTGCTGATGTGGTGAGAGTGGCGGTTGTGAAGCTGAAAGCAGAGAACCGACAAGCAGAGCTTGGAGAGGGAACAATACTGCACAGTCAACTCGCACGAAAGTTACATGATCGATACTTAGAGTGTTACAGTCGTTGGTTAAACGTTCTTAGTTCAAATTTGTGCGGATTTCTATTGTTCTCAATAGGGTTTTATTTGGGTAAGAATCTGAAAGCAAGGGGAGGGATTTGATATCTCCCCAGGGAAAAGCGGGGTTGATAAATAGAATTGAATT